GGGGTATTATTCATTATATGGCGTAGAATTATTCACTTTTTGATTATATTTATACTTGAGCCCACTTCTTCCACAAACATGATTATATTTTTAAAATATTTTTAAATTAAATGATTTTTTTGTACAAATAATTATGATACGTAAAAAAAACGAAATATATATAGTCTTGTTAAGGATTGTTGGTGGAATGTGTACCAAAATTTGATTTATTCTTCTCGTATATTTTAAAATAGAAGGGAACGTTCAACAAAAAAACTATTCAGATATATAAGTCATAATAGTTGAGGCGAAACGAATTATTAGCTTCATCGCCTCTCCAAAGGTTAACTAATGACTGTCTCCACGTCTAGAAAAAACCTTCTTCTTCATTTGGCCCTCCACTTACATGCAACCACATATATAAATATTAATGAAGACATACTAATACATTCATTACAAGACAACCCTAACAAAGTTGTGTTGTGGACTTGGTCTCTCATCTTCTCCGAGAGAGAAAGAGAGAGACAGGATCAACAAATTTCCGACTCGTCTTAGCCGATATATCTATTGACACAAATTTTGGCAGTCCTAGGCCGTGCATTATCGACATAAGCCGTACACAACCGATATGGGATTAATGGATACAAGATGGGAAACCATAGTTCCATTTACTGTTATGGCGTTGATGGAGGCATGTACCATTGCACTCACCATCTTGGCTAAGACCTCACTGACTGGTGGCATGAGCCCTTTTGTGTTCATCGTCTACACCAACGCTCTTGGCTCTCTCCTTCTCCTCCCTTACTCTTTCTACTTCCATAGAGATGAAAGGTACCTTTTTTTATATAAAGAGATGAAAGGTACTTAAAGTGCATGATCTATGTATCTATGTCATTTTCATTATAAGCTGTTATGATAATATATATGTTCTATCATTTGCAGCGACGATGAACCCTTCCTCACGAAACCTTCCCTTGTTCGAATCTTCCTACTCGGTTTTACAGGGTCAGTTTAAATCTCTATTTCTCTGTCAATTTTGATCAAAAACTAAATATATTCAGACTTTATATATAGTAAGTTTTTAGTAAAGACATAATTATATTATATAGCTTAGATTTTATAATTAATTCTTTTCTTGACCAGGGTGTTTTTGTTCCAAAACATGGCATTTTTGGGGCTAAGTTATAGCTCTCCAATTGTGGTATGTGCCATGGGCTTGCAATCACCTGCTTTCTCCTTCTTGCTATCTCTTGCTCGCGGGTAAACTAATTACTTCTATCAAAATTTAGTTATGTTTTATAATTGAACTCTAACAAACTATATTTCTTTGATTTTAATTTATTTTGAATATAAATTAATAGGGAAGGAGGGTTAGGATGGGCAAGTAAGAGAACAAAAGGAAGAGTGATAGGCACGTTAATATGCTTCACAGGAGCCTTTGTTGAAGTTATTTACTTAGGCCCTTTTATAAGACCTTCTCATCCTTCATCCCCAAACTCCAATTTCCTTGCTACAATCTCACACTATTTAACTTTCTTCAAAAATTCTGACAATTGGGTTCTCGGCTCTCTCCTCCTCGCATGCGCCACGCTCTCAATCTCCATTTGGAATATTATACAGGTAATCAAAATTACGTTTCAAGATATTAAATTTCGAAAACAAATCTTATCATTTGTAGATGAATCCACACACGTCTTAACTCGATTCTGAAGTGATGCATACACGTTTCAATTATTAATTTGTTTTTTTTTTTTTTTTGTTGGTCGGGTTACGGTATATCAGTTGGATACAGTCCAAAAATATCCTCAAGTGATGAAAGTAGTGTCTGCCTATAGCTTAGCTGGGACACTCCAATGTGCAATCTTCTCAGCGTTCATGGAGCCAGACCTAAGTGCATGGAAACTCAAACTTAACATGGACTTATATCTCATTATCGCCACGGTATATCTATGTGATCATATATCATAATTACTATATAGTGTGGATTTCGTAATATGGGGCTTTCTATATTTAATCATATTGTTGATTTATATATAGGGGATATTTGGGAGCATAATCAGAACAAGTGTTCAAGTGAAGTGCTCAAAAATGAAGGGGCCTTATTATGTGCCACTCTTTAAGCCATTTGGGATCCTTTGGGCTTCCATTTTTGGCACAAGCTTCTTTGTCAATAGTCTTCACTATGGAAGGTAAATAGAATTTTCGAAAGTTATATTTAAACTAGGAAAAGAGTCCAATTTTATTCTAGTATTCTATTGTTAATAACTTTCATTTCTTTTTAATCCAAGTCAGATTTTTATTTTTTCAATCTGGATTTCGTTCAGCGACTTTCGTGAAATAATATTAGAGAAATGCTTAATATCAAAACAAATATGGATAACTTATGATTTTGATTCCGGTTCAAAATTTTTTATATAGAAAACTAAGTTTTCGCTTAGTTTAGATTTTCCGGTAACGTTCAAGTTTTCTTTTTGATATTTTGAGAAATCAATTTTTTTTCGTTTTTACGTATCAATTTTCGATTTGATTTTGATAATTCGGGTTATTAATGTGAACTTCTTGTGAACAGTGTGTTAGGAGCTGCAATAGCAGGAACTGGATATCTATTGATAATGTGGAGTCAAGTTCAAAAAGAAGATCAAAACGAAATGGCGGAGAAAAACGATAATCATCAATTGGATTCAGATGAACAGACAACTCCACTTTTGCTCGCGAATGATGATTTTGATCAAGTATAATTCAGAAAGGGTTGTTTGCCAAATATTTTTAGTTGTGTTATGTTACACAAAAATTAAAGGTAAGTATATCGAAGTAATTATATTAAAAAAAATAAAAAAGCAAATGAGTGTGAAACAAAACAAACATATATGAAGTCTTGTAACATTTTCGGTAATGAAAGGAATGTATCAAATTCTATCAAAATTAAAAGTACATATGAGTTATTAAAAAGAAATCATTTTTACTTTTTATCCAAATAAAACTCACGATGTCGTCTTTTCTGGAACTCGGTTGATCTATTTTTTAGGCAAAAGAACTAAAAAGTTGAAGTAGTGTTCACATAGTACTCATTGATTCGTCAAATTTTTAAATTGAGAAGTCATCCTCAATAAGCATAAAGAATATATAATTAAGATAGAATTTTACGCTAAATAAAAACATCCCAAAACTGATAACCCCATTATAATATGGTTCCAATTTAGAAAATTATAGTACTAATAGAGTTATTAAAGGTAGAAGAGAAGTACGCAGGGTCTAGGGATTGCTTCGACTTTACGCATGTAAAGGTGTGAGAAACGACTTTTATTTTACTTTATTTTCTTTCTATTGCATTTTTTTTAATTAGAAAGTTCTGGATGGAGTCTCATTCATTTTTTAAGTTCGGCATAATATTTAAACTTTCACCTCTACTAGCCAATATTTTTTAAAGTCGATTATGTAACCTCTTAAAATACTTTAAGGTATTGATTTATAGATAGATTTTTCTAATTTCATATTTCTTTGTGATAATTAATCTTTTTCTAAAACCAATTACAAAGAAAAGAGTAATTATTATATGGGCTTTCTTATTATATCTAGAAAACAACACCAAAATTAAAGTCATATTTCACTAAACAAAATTAATGCAAATTCAATAGAACACAAACAAAAGTAAAGTCATATTTCACTAAAAAAAATTTACATGCATATATAACTTTAAACAATTATTAAATTATAATATTGAGGAGACCAAATATTTACATGTTTTTTTTAAAAAAAATATGAACTTATTATTTTATCGAATTGTGTCAAATATTACATTGGCCTAAGTCAGAACCGAATTTTTTTATTAATTTATAGTAATTATTAATTTATCGAATATTAATTTATAAAAATTTATTATATTTTAGCTAGTCCGTTGCTAGTAAGGATTTAGTCCGCTTAAAACTGTTATTTACATTGGATTTACCTGTAATCTTATTTTTATAGACATCTAAAGTTATTATCCTAACCCACCTTATGGCAACGTGGTTTATACTTGATCTCCAAATTCTCGGCTCGAGCTGATACTTTACTCGAATTGTTTCTTTCTGTCGTATGTTACGTTATATAACAGCACATGTATTTTGATCAAAGCATATATATTACAAATGATGATTAATCTATCGGATCTAGGCCCACACAGCTGTAGTCCTGTGGTAGTTGAGAATTGGAGAAATGTTTGAAGGAACTAACCCAAGTTCGATCCACACTGGAAACAAAAAACACATCTGTGTGGGAAGTCTGGGCTTGGACCAAAGGCCCAAGCAGTTAACCTGATAGTCCAGTAACAGGCGATCTGACTACTCCTGACATTAGTCGGAAAACATTCCAAACTCGGGATAGACAGTGTGGTGGCTCTTCAGAAAGAAGTCCACTCTAAAACACTTCGATGCATTTCTACCGAGGCTGACCGGATCAGCCGATAGGATTTATTAAAAAATAAAAATGATGAAGGATTCTACGTAGACCCTTTTTCACAACACTCAGATCTCCTACTAAGGATTCTTGAATGTGACATACCAACAATGGACATTCTTATCCACAGATAATTTGTAAAAGTATGTTAATTTCACAATTTTCTCCCCCGAATTTAGACCTTCCAATTCTCCTAGATAATTTGTTGGTTGAGCTCACGACTTTGAATAATACCCTCCACAATTTGATACAATTTTCTTTTGAAGTAATCATTTTAGCATACCAATATCATTTTTTTTACGTCATATTTTTTTTTTATTTGTAAATATATTTACGTATTTGTCTGATTCACAATTTATGCTATCTATATTATAATCATTAAAATTTAAAAGTAATTTAAAAATATCTCTTTTCCTCTTCCTCTTCACATTGAAGTTTTTGTTTTTTTTTTCTTTCTTTTTATTAATAGGTTCCGTGTCCTCCAAGTGGTTCTTTCTTCTCAAAGGTCTTTAAACTAAAACGCGCAAAATCAACTTTTTTGACGTTCTTGCTTTATATTGACGGTTTCTTACATAAATTCCCCGACAAATGTCTTTCTCTTTTTCTAGTTTCATCTTCGTCTTCTTTCACTTTCTCACTCTCATTTCCTTAACCCTTTTTCACTTTCGGTGTCTAGGTTTGTATTTTCTCTTCCTAGGCTCCTACAAAATTCACTTGTTCTTCAAGATTCCAGCAAAAAGACTCAATCTTTCTCTGTTTTTTCTTCTCTTGAATTGCCTTTGAGTTTCATCAGAAGTGAAAGGAAATGGCCGGTGGTGGTGGAGGAGGAGGGATAGCGCCGCCGCTAAAACAAGATGAGCTTGAGCCACATCCCGTGAAAGATCAACTTTCTTCTATCTCTTATTGCATCACAAGTCCTCCTCCTTGGCGTAACCATCTTCTCTCATACTTTCATTTGTGCAATGTGTTATCTTTGTTCTAAAGATCAGTTTTTTTTTCAGCGGAGGCAATACTTTTAGGTTTTCAGCATTACTTGGTGATGCTTGGAACAACTGTTCTCATTCCAACATATTTAGTTCCACAGATGGGTGGTGGAAATGTAAGTTTTCTTCTCAGACAAGTCAATTCAAATGAATATTTTGGAAAAGCTCTGTTTCTGATTGGAGAATGTATTCATTTGGTGTAGGAAGAGAAGGCAAAGATGGTTCAGACATTGCTTTTTGTTTCTGGACTTAACACTTTATTGCAAAGCTTCTTTGGGACTCGACTTCCCGCGGTCATTGGAGGCTCTTATACCTATTTACCAACCACTCTTTCGATCATTTTGGCTGGTCGGTACAACGACATTCTTGATCCTCAGGAGGTTAGTGGAAAAAAAAATCAGAGTCTCTCTGTTTCTTTGTCAGATTTTTTAATTGATAGAGATAAAAATTGCAGAAATTTAAGAGGATAATGCGAGGAATCCAGGGTGCTCTTATCGTTGCCTCGATTCTTCAGATCGTTGTTGGCTTCAGCGGGCTTTGGCGCAATGTAGTTAGGTTAGCTAAAACATTCATTCATATAAAACCAAATGATTCTCTTCTACTACTTTCTGATGATTGATGTTTTTACTTTCTTTAGGCTCTTGAGTCCTCTCTCTGCAGTTCCTCTAGTAGCACTAGCCGGTTTTGGACTTTATGAGCACGGTTTCCCTCTGGTGTGTATTGCTTTACTTGATCTCTCTTACGGTTTGATAACATTTTCTTGAATACTGAGTTGTTATTTCTATTGCAGCTAGCCAAATGCATTGAGATTGGACTGCCTGAGATCATCCTTCTACTTATATTCTCACAGGTTAAAGCTCGGCGAAAAGCTCTCTTCTCGTTATTTCGAAAGATATGTTAACTAGATATTCATCTTTATGGTTTGTTTCTGCAGTACATTCCTCATCTCATTCGAGGAGAAAGACAAGTCTTTCATCGATTTGCTGTTATTTTCTCTGTGGTTATCGTCTGGATTTACGCACATCTACTTACCGTTGGTGGAGCCTATAAGAACACAGGAATCAACACTCAGACAAGTTGCAGAACAGATCGTTCCGGCCTTATTGGAGGCGCTCCATGGTTAGAGAAACTTTCTGTCTTTATCTTTGTGTATTCTCTAATGACATTATTTGGCTACAAAATTTAGACTGATTCCTGATGATTCCAGGATAAGAGTGCCTTATCCTTTTCAATGGGGACCTCCAACATTTCATGCCGGTGAAGCTTTCGCTATGATGGCTGTTTCATTTGTTTCCCTTATTGAGGTCAGATTCATCTAAAATATTTTTCTTTTTGCTGCAACAACACTAAACACTTATTCTTTGCGTGCATTCATGTTCTTGTACTTGTGATTCATGTAAACAGTCCACAGGGACTTACATTGTTGTGTCAAGGTTTGCAAGCGCAACTCCACCGCCACCTTCTGTTCTTAGCCGTGGAATCGGTTGGCAGGTAACATTGAAAAAGTTCTTCATCTCAATCAGCCCCGGCTCAATATATTTGAGAGCCTTAGGGCAAAAAAAAATTTTTTGGCCTATTATTATATACAAAGAGAAAATTTACTTAATTTTTAAAAATTTTGCGGAGTTTTTATAGTAAAAATTGTTATTTTAAAAATTTTGGGCCTTTTTATACATTTTCTTATAAATAATTAGGCCTCTTAAAATATAATTTTCATATTAATAATATTTTTAAAAAATATTTGGGCCTTTTTTATATGTAAATTTTTTTATAAAAAAAAAAGCCCCGGGCCGTCGCACTTCCGCCCTACCCATCTGAGCCGGGGCTGATCTCAATTTCCCTCATTTGATTGTATATTTAAGCAAATGCATTTTTTATGTATAGGGCGTTGGAGTACTTCTCTGTGGATTATTTGGAGCAGGAAATGGAGCATCTGTATCAGTGTAAGACCTCTATGAGAAAATAAAGTATTGCAACCGTAAAAAACAACAATCTTTATTGCAAAATCGACAATTTTTTCTTATGATATTGCAGAGAAAATGCCGGTTTGTTAGCGCTAACACGCGTTGGTAGCAGAAGGGTAGTTCAAATATCAGCTGGTTTCATGATTTTCTTCTCCATTCTTGGTAAATTTGGGGCCATCTTTGCTTCGATTCCCGCTCCAATCGTCGCAGCATTACATTGCTTGTTCTTTGCATACGTTGGTACGTTTCTTGAAACAACTTTTCATTTTACTCAAAACGCTATGTTTTTCAAACCGTAATATGAGCAAACAAATAAAATTGCAGGTGCTGGTGGTCTAAGCTTACTTCAGTTCTGTAATCTAAACAGCTTCAGAACAAAATTCATCCTCGGATTCTCGGTCTTCATGGGCTTATCGATACCACAGTACTTCAACGAGTATACAGCTGTTAACAAGTATGGACCAGTTCACACACACGCAAGATGGGTAATAAAACAAAACAAGAACCTTAATATCTTTTTGATATCTTCTCACTTATGATAAGTTTGTAACCAAAACACAATGCTGATTTTGTTGTGTTCTTTGCAGTTCAATGATATGATCAATGTACCATTCTCCTCTAAAGCATTTGTGGCTGGGATTTTGGCATTCTTTCTTGATGTAACATTGTCATCTAAAGACAGTGCCACAAGGAAAGACCGAGGGATGTTTTGGTGGGATCGTTTTATGTCTTTTAAATCGGATACTAGAAGTGAAGAGTTTTACTCTTTGCCTTTCAATCTCAACAAGTATTTTCCCTCTCTGTAAACATTGAAAATTATGCTGAGAAAGAGTTCATTGGCTAGGAGGCACTGACTCTACTCTATGTAGAACATTTTGTATCTGTAAACTCTGTTTTCTCAAACTGTGTCCCGTTTATTTATTTGATAATGTACTTCTCTGTAGTGTTTGCCTGTTTTCAGCTTGGGCACGTGCACAGCTTGCCGTTTAAGATATGTGTGTTACTCGGGCTGTCAATATTTTTGTCTATAGAGTTACAGTTACTCGTGTATTGGGCTGTCAATGCGATCCGAAGCCCACATACGAGTCGAAACTTTGAAACCATTTTGTAAATTACGGGTTTCGTGATAACTTAAGCCGTAATTTTTTATTTTTTTTTTGTTCGTATTGTCTCATCTAGGCCCGGGCAAATAAACCGAATCGAATATATTGAACCGAAACCGAAGCAAAAAACACAGAACCAAACCGAACCAAAGATTTGAAAATAACCGAATAGATAGTAAATTTAATAACCGTAACCGAATCGGTACCGAACCGAAATATTTCGGATAACCGAAATATCCGAAATACAATTATATTTTCAAAATAATTAGTTATTTATAGACCAAATAATCAAAAATACTTGAAAAATATGTAAAAATAGTTAAAATACTCGAAAATAACCGAAATATATCCAAAAATATCCGAAAATACTCAAAAATAACCGAAATATCCGAAAATATCATAAGCAAAATAACCGAATGGATACTAAATTTTAAAACCGAAAGAACCGGAACCGGAGCGAAACCGAACCAAAAATTTAAAATATCCGAATGGATACTAAAATTTGAAACCGAAAGAACCGAAACCGAATGGACCCAACCGATAACCGAACGGTTAACCGAAAGCCCAGGCCTAGTCTCATCTCACGTTTTTTTTTTTTCCGGTATAGTCTCATCTCGCGGTTTTATGTGTGTGTTTTTATATAATTTAAGTGATCCTAAAATATTTTTAGGCCCAAAGACTAATTATGAAGACCAGGAAAATCATGTTAGAATTCAAATCCTGGTGGCTAATGCTATTTGAACCCAGGTGGCGGAGATTTTTCTCTCTTTTATCACTGGACCAAGACGACTTGGTTATTTTATGCTTCCATTGAATTCAACTTGAAATATAAACGACATGCAAGAGTCGCAATCCAAAAATAGCGGACGAGGACATGAAAACTCCCAAAAACATACATCAAACGAAAGTGGAATAAACAAATTGCAGAAGGAAACAAGAAAAAAAAAAAACCCAAACAACCCAAATACATTATAACCAATCGATTATTTCTCGGATTCAAATTCCAAAAATTAATTTTACATACAAAACCTAAACCTTTGCTTAATAAAATAAATCTGAGATGAGAAAAACACACACAAACGGAAAAATACAAAACTCTTCTTACCACAAACTATGGTGAAGAGCCACGGAGGCGGTGAGACACATCCAAGATCTAGAGACTGTTGAGAATGATCGTCTTTTGAAAAAATAAAAGAGATGGAGATCTTCGTTGGTGAATTTTCCATCTGAAGACTGCCTTTTCCATAGAAAGAAACGGTCAGATCAGAAGCTGAGTTGGATAGAGACATAAAAGCATCTACATTTGTTAAGATACTCTTAATAATAAAATAATAATATTTCTAATATAATTTAGTTATTAAATTAAATTTAAATTTTTCAGAAAACTAAACCAATAATTAAGTGACATGTGTAAGATTTCTTATTTAAAACTCATGAGTTCTTAAACAAGAATCCCTGTCAATCCTTCTCTCCTACTTTTTTTTTTGTTTATTAAGATTTTAATGGAAGTATCTAAATGGGGTATCTAACTTAGATACCTCCATTAGAAATGCTCTAAACATAAGCTTTAGAAACTCAATGTGGATCGAATTTAAGTTTCATATATCAAGATCTAAAAATCAAGATGGGAAACAGTTGGAAGAAAAAATGATCTCGATATGTTGAACAAAGGAAACAAAATGAAATTATACCAGGAGAGAACCCCTGGCTCTGGCACTTAAGAAGTCATCGAAATCGGTTATCTTAAGCGGCGGCGAGTTTTCTTAGAGAGAAAGGATAGCCTTTTTTATGTTTTTATTTGTTACCTACTATTTACCCTTTTTAAAAATATGTGTATTTATATTTTACAGTATTTTATTACTATTATTAAATATTTTGTTTTAGTGAAAAGCTTTTGATAAATTTTTAATTGATGTACTAAAAGGGTTAGATAAAAAAAAATTACTAAAATTTTCAAACAATCACATAACACAAATGCAAACATACTATTTTAGTGTCTACGAATTCAGTAAAATTTTAAAATTTTAATTACAAAACAAAATTTTTCAAACTACGGAGGAGGCTAAGATAGGCGCATGCCCGTCTGGCCGTCTCTACCCTTAAGCAATATAGACATTTTTCATGGATCCAAAACTATTTTTTAAAAATTTGGTACAAAAAAAAGCCTAGTTTTTAGAAAAAAATTTATTTTAAATTGGTTTTACCAAAGGCCTTCTTATATATTGAGGTGACACTGTCTTAGACGAGCCAAGTTTGATCCACTTGATCGGCCCTATGTAAGAAATTTATAAGTGGGACTGAAACCATGTTTGCGTTGTTGATCCAAATTCAGTAGTTTAAACGTGGTTCATAATTTCTCAATACATTTTGTTAAAAATTGAAAAATTATATACAATTTTATCAACGAAGACAAATCTATTCAACTTTGAACTCATTGAATTTATCTCTTTTTGAAGTAATATGAAAAGAACATGAGGACAATCGTTCCCAAGAAAAAAAACTTTTCTCTCTTCTCTCTCTTCCCAAGTAGATCTAGGGTTTCGTCACTTTCAGTTCTTCATCGTTGGGCGGCTGGTTTCAGGAAGAGATACGGTGGTTGACGGCCATTCATCTCCGGCGGTATGAGGCGTGGTAAATCTGGTCTTGTTGCTTCTCGGCGGCCCCTTTCACGTCCTTTCTGAGAAGCTACTACTCCGTATCTTGCGGGTTTGAGGACGCCTGCGAGAGTTTGTGGTGGTTTCTCATGGCTGGGAGGTTGTGGATCTGGCTCCGATTAGCGGCGGAAGGCGAGACCATGATCGGTGGGTGTACTGCTTTGTGAAGGGATTAACTGTGGACCCTTTCGGGTCCTAGATGGCTACGCGTGGGTTGTTGGAGGATGACGGTCTGACTGGCCATCAACCGTCTTCCGCCACCACGATTGGCTTTCTTTTCACCGGATTGATGTTTGGTTAGTCTCGGGTGGTCCAATGGTGACTGATGTTGGAAAGGAGGGTTCGACTCGAGTTCCCTCTTCTTGCTAGGTCGGGGAGTTGAGGGATAGGGTCTCGGTTGTCGCAGATCTGGCTTATTCCGGGAGATAAGCTCCGGGATCGGTGAGTTGATGCCTCAGTTGGCGAAGGGAACTGCTAACTCCAGTCAAGAGCTTCAGGTCGTCTTCTTCACAGCAAAGGAGTAGATCTTGTTAGCATCGGGTGTGGTAGGCTAGATCTGTTGTTTCCGATGTACCGCCCGTTTGTCAGAGTTCTTTTCCGGCGTTTTTTCCGATTTGGGCCTGACCTGCTTTTGTAACCGTTGTTTCTGTCTGGGCCAAAAGCCCAAAGCCCATTTGGGAAGAATAAAAATTTAATTTAAAAAAAAAAAAAAAAAAAAAAATGAAAAGAACATCCAAAATCGATGATCCACATCTTGGTTATATCCTCACCAACTAATGTACTGCCCTTCTTTGTTAGATATCCAAGATACTCTTGTATTTGCTTTTTTTATTTGTTTTTTTTCTTCTTTTCTCTAATCTCCCTCTATATTGGATAAGCAATCCACTGATTTTGAAGATGAGATTTTTTTGTAATGGTAGTAGTCCATTCTCCAGTTTCGCTGTTAATTCTTTAACCTCAAAAGAATCTTGTTCTTCTAAACAACCAACAAACCTAACATCTTGATATGAGCCAGCATATATTCTCTTTGCCATCAAATTCTTCCATGTCTTCATGTAGGCATAGTTGTTGAGGTTTATGAACTTTGCCTCCTAGCTTTGTTTGAAAACATAAAGCTCTGATACTACTATGTTTTGAGATTAAGATTGAAGATTTGTTTAGAAAGATTCAAGCGCCCAAACATCTGTGGTCTAGTGGCAGAGGAATCTTTGGGAAATGGTGAAACTCCCAAACCTGAGTTCGATTCTTCCTGGAAACAAAAACACATTTGTTTGGGAAGTCTGTCAGTTGGGCCTTGGCCCAATTGGTTTACCTGGTAACCAGAAATGTAGGCGGCCTGACTACCCCTGGCATTAGTCGGAAGGCACTCCAAACTCGGATCAGGCAGTGTGGTGGCCCAATTCTGGATCTCATGGATCTCATGGCCCGTTCGACCCGAGTCCGCTCGGAGCTCATGGTATCCGTTGAATCGTTGAACCGTTGAACCGGGAGAAGTCCACTTTGTAGCACCTCGGTGCGTTCCTACCGAGGCTGATCAGATCAGCCGATAGGGTTTATCAAAAAAAAAAAAAAATTCAAGCTTCAACTCTCTTTCTCTATCATCTTCTTTTTTTTTTTTTTTTGTCGGCCAAACATTTCATTAATAATAAGAGAGTACATCATACATTTTTAATAATCCCATGAGATAGTAAAAGGGGAATTTTGACATCTAGCAGTTTTTGCTATAAGATCAGCAGCATTGTTATCACTTCTACAGATGTACTTAAAAGAAAAAGAGCTTATAGTGATGGCTGCTATGTCATCCAAGTAAGGTTGAATCTCCAAAAGGCTAGGAAGTGAATGTGGCAGCTTCGTTGTTTTTTCCAAGTGACGATAGAGAGTGAGTGAATCACCACAGAAGATAACATTTTTGTATTGGAGGCGTCTCACATGTAATAGGGCTTCTTTTAGTGCTAGAGCCTCAGCTTCAAGTGCAGAATTTACAGGATCAACTGAGGAGAATCTTCGGAGGATTCTGCCACCTTGTGGAGTGAGGAGGATCCATCCAATACCTGCCTTTGAGCTTGAATCAGTCCAGGAAGCATCTGCACAACATATCAAGGATGAGGTATGCTGCATAATTTCTTGGAGTGTAGCCACTTTTGGCTTTGCTTTATGCATATTCAATGCATTAGGATCAGATTGAGAATCTTTCCAAAGGTTATAATCCATCAAGGCATATTGTATGATGTCAGGTATAGCCCTTTTTTTGTTGTTAAAAAACAACTCATTGCGAGCTTTCCACAGTCTCCATCCAATAAAAGGAAAGAGGTGTTCTTGAAGCATAGTCTGATCCTTAAGCATCAAAAGATGTTGCATGATATCAGAAAGAAATGTTTTACCCTCTAACTGACCTGGCTGAATTCGAAGTGGTGATAACTCCCATACTTCTTTGGCAAAGCGACACTGAAAGAGAAGATGGAGGATAGACTCTTTTGCATCACCACAAAATATACAGTCTAATAGAATCTTGAGCTTCCTGCGGGCAAGATTATCAGCTACTGGGAGGGCATTGTGAAGAACTCGCCACCAAAAAAGTTTAATTTTTGGTGGGATATTTAACTTCCAGAGTTGCTTCCATAATGTATTTATTGAAGAATTTGCAGGATTATGCTCTGTACCTGGCTTGGTTAATTGATGGTAGCCTGATCTAACTGTGTATTGGCCATCGTTTGTGAAAATCCAGGTAGGAGTGTCATGTGTTTTGATGAGTCGCAATCGAGTTTTCTTGATGAGAGGAATATCTTCTGGATGAACTCTCTCCTGAAGTTTGATATCATCCCACATACTCAAGTTAGGCTTCATAAGATCTGAAACAGTTAGAAGATCAGTGGCAGGGGGTAATAAACTCCTAGCAGGCCTTGGAGGATTGCTCAACCATGGGTCATGCCAGACTTTAATTGTCTTTCCATCACCAACATCCCATTTTAAACCCTGTTTAAGGAGCTGCGTACCTTGGAGGATGCTTCTCCATGAATGACTTGGACGGTGTCCAAGTTTTGCCTCCAGTAAAGAGGATTTAGAGAAGTATTTAGCTCTTAGGACACGGGTAAGCAGTGATTGTGGATCCTTTAGCATTCTCCAGCTTTGTTTTGCTAACAAAGCGATATTAAAAAGATTTAAATCCCTGAATCCCATGCCCCCATATTGCTTCAAGGTAGTCATTGTTTTCCAACCAATCCATGGTATCCTGTGTTTATCCTTTACAGCAGACCACCAGAATCTTTGAATATGTCCTGTAATTTGGGATATTAGTCTCTTAGGAAGCATAAAACAGGACATAGTGTATGTGGGAAGAGCAGTAGCTATAGATTTTATCAAAACTTCTTTCCCAGCCAGTGACAATAAATTTGAATACCAACTTTGAAGTTTATGCTGAACTCTCTGAGTAATGAAGCCAAAAGCATTACATTTATTCTGCCCTATTGCCTCAGGGAGCCCCAAATACTTGCCAAAACCCCCAGTTTTGGAGATACCTGTAACAGCAGTGATAGTTTGCTGGTCTTCAGGACTGATATTTTTGCCAAAGAGAATGGCTGACTTTTGAAAGTTGACATATTGACCTGAAGCTTTTGCATATACATTGAGAATCCAAAGAAGCTTGTGGCATTCATCTGCATTAGCTTGACAGAAAAGCAGAGAGTCATCAGCAAAGAGCATATGAGAGATGGCTGGTCCATTACAACTAGCTTTGAAGCCATGAATCATATTTGTTGCCATTGCATGAGTAAGGAGAGATGAAAGACCCTCAGTGCATAATAGATAGAGATATGGTGAAATAGGATCACCTTGCCGTAAGCCTCGTGATGGGAAGATCTTCTTAGTCGGTGAGCCATTGATGAGCACTGAGTAGGAGACCGATGTAACACACTTCATTACCCATTGACACCATTGATCTGCAAAGCCAAGACGCCTCAGTATTTGCTCTATGTAAACCCATTCAACCTTATCAAATGCCTTGGCAATATCAAGCTTCAAAGCCATAAAAGGATTTTTTATTTTCTTAGTGCGAAGAGAATGCAAAAGCTCATGAGTAATGATAATATTATCAGTTATTAAGCGCCCAGGAATAAAAGCAGACTGAAATTCTGAGATAAGACAATGAAGCCATGGCTTAAGTCTGTCTGCTAAAATTTTGGAGATTAGTTTGTAAGCAATATTGCACAAACTAATAGGCCTGAAGTCTTTTACTTGAGTTGGTGAGTCAATCTTAGGAACAAGACAAATGTAAGTATGATTCATTTCAGGATTTAAATACCCGGTTTGGAAGAAGAGTTGTATGTATCTGATCAAACCTGGCTTAATGATGTCCCAGTCGTTTTTATAAAATCCTGCAGTGAATCCATCAGGGCACGGCGCTTTGTCAACATTCATTTGAGCAAGAGCATGGAGGATTTCTTCCTCTGAGACAGGTAAAGTGAGCTGCTGGTTCATTGCTGGAGTAACTTTGGGTTGAATGTGTTGGAGAACCATATCAAGGTGCTCACTGCCAGAAGAAGTATACAGATTAGTAAAATAAGAGTGGATGATATTCTGGATTTCTTTATCTGACTGCTTGATATTGCCATTATCATCCTCTAGGGCAGTGATACGATTATAGCTTCTTCTTTGCTTTGTTTTGGCGTGGAAGTACTTAGTGTTTTTATCTCATGCTTGCATCCATAAGGTTCTACTCTTTGTTCTCCAGTATTCTTCCTCCGATTTGTATTCTTGCTGTAACTGCTGCTTGAGGTTGGTAATATAATTGAAGTCAAGAGAAGGAGAATTATATGCTTGCTGGAGAGCCTCATGAAGCTGCTGAATCTTGCGATGAGAATTGGTGCTATGCTCCGATTTCCAGGAAGAGAGACTATGCCTGCATCTCTTAAGAGCTTCATGAAACCGATGTGGAGGCAACACGTTACATTTCTCATCCCAAGCATTTTTAAGAATCTGATTTACCTCCTGGTTACTTTTCCAGCGATTGTCATAGCGAAATAGCTTCATGCCCTTCCATTTGTTACCATTCGTATGCAACAGTAAGGGTTTATGATCAGAACCAACCCAATCCAGCATTTAAACCATAGCTTTGGTAAATTTATCCTTCCATTCTGCAGTGGCCACTACTCTATCTAACTTGGACTTTATAGTACCAGAGCTGCGATTTCCAATCAGGTATAGATGCCACCAAATGTTTTAACCTCATGAAGTCCTGATACATTTAACATCCTCCGGAAGTTGAGAAACTGCCATTCTGGCCTGGGTGGACCTCCAAGCTTTTCCTGGTTGTTCTTTATTTCATTAAAGTCTCCGAGAACAACCCTAGGCTTACTCTGATAGAGACTTCCTCTGATTAGGTTTTCCATCTTCTGCCACATAAGTTGTCTTGGCTTTCTCTGAGGATTACCATAAACATAAGTAAGACAAAAGGTAGTTTGGCCTTCAGTAATATACATGTCTGTATAATGAAGAGTAGGGGAAGAGAGGACATCACACTGTACTGTACTCCGCCAAAAGATAGCTAATCCACCACTTAGACCATCAGGGGAGACCAAAATTTGATGATCAAATTGGAGTTCATCACCTAGTTTCTGTACATATAGGTCTTTATTTTTTATTTCTACGAGGAACATGATATCAATCTTATACCTACGATTGATATCCTTTAGATATGGAATTGTCAAGGGGTTCCTCAGCCCTTGACAATTCCAATGCAAGATTCTCATTCGGGCAGTGGTGGCTTCGGGGTATCCACCTCCCCTTGAGCCTGAGTTGAAATGCTGGCTTGGACTCTCTTGTTAGGAGTTGAAACTTCTCCAACTTCTGCTGATGCATTGACCTTCCTCTTAATCCCTCGTATCTGTCCAGACACTGAAGTGGTACCCATTTCTTGAACTGCAAAAGTAGCATTAATTGTGTCTTGGACTTCCCTTGGTTGTGTAGAATCCATATAATCTGCTTGGGACTTATTTTGATCATGATTCTCTGAAGTTTCCATATTCAAATTGGATCCCACTGTTTCTCCCATAGTATCATCAGCACCTTCAGTGGGAGTGTGTGGTTGAGCAACCAGCTGATGCGCATTAGAGATATTGAAGTCATGAATTGGAGCAGAGCCTGGAGGTGGAAGCTGTAATTGCTCTACTTCCTGCAGTTGACGGTTGCATGTTGAAGCTAAATGAGTTAGGCTTCCGCAACTAGAGCAGAATCTACGGAGTTTATCAAAAACAAAACGTATAAGAACTGGTTCTCCATAGTCTTCCAGGTGGAAGTACCGAGCAAAGATTAGCCTTCCTGCAGTGTCAATGGGTACACGAACTCTAACCTCACCAGCTTGTTCTGCGGACGGCTGCTGTATGTGAACTTCATCAACATGGCCTAGGACTCCACCAATTTCCCGAATTAGATTATCATTCCTGGAGTCATCAGGAAGATTTAAGATTTTTACCCAGAATCGAATGACACGAAGATAGTCTGGACTGTTGCGATTGGTCCAGCGATCAACTACAACAAGCCAGTCTTTATAAGTCCATGGACCGTTATCCAGAACAGTAAGAAGCTGGTGCTCATGATTGAAGAAGAACTGAACAGATCCATCCTCATTAATTCGACTGGTTATGCGTCCCTCTAATTTCCAAACCTTCGGCATCATCACCTTTATTCCCGCTGGATTTTGGGAAGGATGGAGGCCCTTGACGACAAGACTAAGACGATGTGCAGCATCACGCTTGGATTTAGCATCATTTGAGATCTTCAACGGGCTGCGCTCTAAACCCAGGTTCAGATTTTGAAGAGAAACCCACAATTCCTTATCAGCCATGGAAGGATGTTGTAGATCCGTTGAAACGGAAGAGAAATCCGAGGTCGTCGGAAGACAGATCACCGGAAAAATGAAGTCGGTGAAGACAAGCCAAGAGAGTTCTAGAAATCGCCTTTTACTGTAGACGAGAGCTTTTTTTTTTTTTTTTTTTCTATCAGCTTCTTAACCACAAAAATAAATTTATTTATTTTTAAATAAAAATGCAATAAAAATTAAATAATTTTCTAAAAGTATACCAATATAACGGAGGAAGTAGGGAAGATTTTTTTTAAAAAAATTCTGATCAAATAATCATTTGATTAAAATGAGTAATATGTTGCTTAAGGAGTCTACTAATTAAGGTGATTATGATGTTATAGTGTTAGGAAAATGTTTTACAACAAATTTGTATTTTTCTTAGGAAATCGAAGCAATTTGAACGACAAAAGAGGCCAGTGACTTCTGCTTCTGTCTCATCCTTCTCTTTATTCTTATCTTTCATTCCTTATGTGTTTCGTTTATTTCCTTTTTTTTGTTTCTTTAATTTTACGTGCTCTCATATTTTTCTGCCAAGTTCCATGAAGTATTAAATCAGAGATGTCATATCTTGACATACTGCGTTTATACGCGAACCATTTCACATCTATAATAGACCAGTACGATCTATCATTCTTCAATTGTACGTCAAATGCCTAAGCCAAATTAAAATGGCGATTTCCATTAAGTAGATATTAAAATGGCGATTTCCATTGTTTTCCTATCCATGCAAATTAATGGATGAATTTTGTGTTGATCCTTTTGCTTTTCCACGTCCAAAAACTTTTATAATTTTCATGTCTCTTAACTTACTTCAATCTAAGTTGGCCACGCGCGACGTATAATCCAATAGTGTATATTAACATCTTCGTTACGTTATTATCCGAATTTAATTCATAATTGACAAAACAAACAAGAAAAACTTATCTTCTTTTGAAATGATAACGTTTTTCTTCTTAATGAAGAAATGGTCTTGGGGAACTCGAATCACTTGCACATTGAAACCAATACGAATTCCATGTATTTATATTAAAAGCTGACAATAAGATTATTTATATGTTTGATCAAAAACATAAGATTACTTATTATTATCTTTATACATTATGCAAAACTATATTATTCTACTTAACTAATCAACCACACATGTAAAAGTTTCCTCAGAGTATCTCTCGTCAGAAGATTGCATGTACATTTGTTTCTGTTTGATTTGTCGCTTAAACGAATTTAAAATGTCCATCTTCTAAGAAAAATGTTAAGAATGCGA